AAAGTGAAACCCAAACGATAGTTGCTGGTGACTTTGAGTTGTTTGAAGATAAAGGAATTGACACTAAAGTTATTGCCCCTAAAAAACATACAACAACTAAACCTACGAAGAGAGATATTGCAGTTCAGAAAGAAGTCACAAAACTAATTGAAACAGGAAAAATTTCACAAACAAAACCTGTAGGACATAAAACAAAATACACGAATATTTGGGGAGGTAACTCACAACAAGAACCAAACCTTAGTAATTTGAAAATGCCATCAATTAATCCAAAAAATCCAATGTGGCATCCTGAAAGAAAGTTTGTCAAAAAATTGACAAACCAAACCCGATATAAATTAAATGGTGTTATTGGACCAATGAAAGCAAAGAAATTAGCAATGGATAAAAAAGGAAAAAAATAAAATGTCAAAAGACAATTCTATAGATTGAACTGATTTTTAGTCAAATAATTATTTTTATTTTTTTATGTAATGGTTAATAGTTTAAAAAAGGATTTATTTATATTTATAACATTTAGAAGATAAACACGTCATCGATTGAAATAAATAAGAAACAATAAGAAGAAGAACCATAAAATATAAAAAGTAAATTAATAAAAAGTTATGAATCTGATAACGAACCCTAGTAATACAAGAAACTGAACTGAAATATTATTCACATCACCATTTAATGCCAGCACAAAATACTCAAAAGAAGGATCTCTCAAAGAAGGTTGAAAAGAAACCAGAGAGTGAACCAAAGAAAGAAAAGAAAACTTTCACTGCTTTTGTTGCTAAAGTAAAAAGTAACAACAGTCTTACCTTATCATCTAAGAAAGATGATAAAAGGAGTACCGTTGTATTAGCATATGTTGATCTTCCAAGATATGATGCCAAAGAGAAGAAAGAAGAGGCATTTGCTTATGAAACCAACGAAATATTAAGAAAAAAATTGGTCACTGGTAAAGAAGTTAAATTTGAAGTTGTTTCAGAACATCAAGGTATTCCAAAGGCTGTAGTTCCATTTGTTAGAAAAGAAAATATTGTATGCACATTAATTGAAAGTGGATACGCTTCATTAAAGATTAAAGGAAAAGGAAAAGAATTTAGTCAATACTTTGATGCAGAACAAAAAGCAAAAGATTCACACAGAGGTATTTTCAGTGAGGATATGATTAAGATTGCTAAGAAGAGACCAGAAAATATATTCTTTAATGAAAAGGAAATTAGTGAATTAAAAGGAAAGACAATTCAAGGACATATTAAGAGAGTTGAAGCTCCATCACATTATATTATTGAAGATACAAACAGAAGAAGATTTAAAGTAGTATTATACGGAGTTAATCAAATGCTTAGATACAACACTGAAAAAGATGTATTTGATTTTGATGACGATGCTAAGGATGCTATGAAATATATTAATAGATCTTTCAATCAAAGAGATGTTACAGTTAAAGTTATTGAAACTTCTCAACGTGTTGCTTATGCTCAACTTTCTGTTGAAAAGAAAGATGTTGCAGAAGAATTATTAAGATCAGGATTTGTTGTATGCAGTAAATTAGAAAATGCTACTGAAGAAATTAAACAAAAATATCAAGCTGCTGAAAAAGAAGCTAAAAAAGAAAAGAAAGCAAGATGGACTGAATTTGATCAAGCTGCTGAAGATGCTATTATTGCTAAAAGACAACAAAGATTAAAGGAACTTGAAGATAGAAGAAAGAATGCTAAGATAATTTCAGGAGCTGAAATTATTTACATTGGAAATCACATCAAAGCTAAGAAAGGAAATGAAGAATATAATATTCATCTTGCATCTGTTAGACCAGTATTCAAAAAGAATGATAAAGAATTTAATGATCTTGTCCAATTCAGAATTAAAGAATGCCTTAGAAAACTTATTGTTGGAAAGAAGTTTGAAGCTAAAGAGTGTTATAAAAGAAGTTTCACAAAAGAAGATAAAACAATTGAAGAAGTTTTCTATGATGTTTATGCTTCTGGAAAGAATGTTGCTGTTACATTAATTAAAGAAGGGCTTGTTGTTTTAGAAAAGACACGTGATGAATTCTATCAATCATTTGATTATAAACTCCTCTCAGAAACACCAAAAGGAGAATACAAAGAAAAGGTTGTTACTCAATATCCAGCAGAAAAAAGAGAATCAATTAAAGATGTTTTCCTTAACAATAGTTTCAATTGTATTGTTGAAAGAGTTATTAATGTATGCAAATATGTTATTTATATTCCAGAAAAAGATTGTAGAATGACAGTAGTTCTTTCACATTGTAGAATTCCAAGAGATGATGAAAATGAAGAACTTAAGAAATTCAATGAAGAATCAAAAGCAGCTGTAAGAGCTCTCTTTGGATTAAATGAAGTTACTGTTGATTTTAGAGAATTCTTTAAAGGAAATTTCTGTGTTGATATTCTTAGTAAGAAGTTTGATCTTTGTGATCTTGTTTTAAGCAAGGCATATGCTCAATTCTCTGGAAGAGATATTCCAGAAAATATTGCAGAAATGAAAGAAAATCAAGAAGGTATCTATAAATTTGCTGGAGCTAAAAAAGAGGGTGAATCTAAACCAGTTAGACCAGTTAAAGTTGTTAAAGAAGTTCATAGAGAAATTAAGTTTGGTGAAGGAAAGAATGTCTACATTACTGGATTTGATGGATCAATGATTTATTATTATGAGAAAGTTGCTGATGCTAAGTTTATTGAAGAATTAAGCAATAAATTAAAGAAATGCAACAAAGGATCAGTTGAACAAAAAGATGGACAAAAATGTGTTGTTGAGATTAAAGGTGTTCAATACAGAGCTATTATTACTAAAGCTGTTCCAACTGCTAATGTTGTTAAATGCATTGATACTGGTGCAGTTATTGTTTGTGGTAAGAATAAATTAAAACCACTTAAAGAAGAATATGAAAATATTGAAGTTACAGTTAAGTCAATTGCTCTTGCTGGTGTTAAGACACTTGTCAGAGGAAAAGATGTTGATTTTGATGCTATGATTAATGCTGTTTCTTCTTTCTTCAATAAAGAAGCCACTATGTTTGTTGCTACTATTAATGATAAAGAAGTTGCTAAAGTTGTTGTTGGAGATGTTTGCATTAACAATATGCTTATTGAAGAAGGTCTTTCTATTCTTGATAGATTTTTCAATGATAACAGTGACTGGGGACGTGCTATGACTTCTGCACAATCTGCTGCTAAAGACAAACATCTTAATGTCTGGAGATACGGAGAAATTGATGATGATGAAGAAAAGGACAAGCATTAAACAAAACTAATTTGAGAAATCCTTTTTTGGTGATTTTTGTTTTACAATATTTTGAAGAATTGTTTTTTTATTGAAGCAATGTTGTAGTTATATCATAAAAATATTTTTAATCTTTTTGTTATTCAAATAGAATTAATCAAAAAATATTTGAAAATATCAGAAAAAACTTTTTTTTCTATTTCATAAATTAAAATTTTTTTCTCTATTTTAGGAATATATAAATCGTTTTAATGAAAATTAAAAAGAAATAATTTAAGAGATTTACAAATAGAAAAACAGTGAAATGAGTAATATGACATGGGGTATACTTATTGGACTTGAGTCAACAACACCTAATATTTTATTAAAAGAAGAAGTAGAAAATATTGGGAGAGAGAGAATAGACAAAGAAAAATATATTATAAGTAGTAATCATTTTACAATCACAAGAAGACAACAAAATAACGAAAGTCAATGTTTTATATTAACTGACACATCTTCAAATGGAACATTTCTTAATGATGAAAATAAAAGATTAGAAAAAAAAAGTGAAACAGTTATAAATTCATTTGATGTTATTTATGTTGTTAAAGTTTGTCAACAAGAAAATACAATAATAGAACCTATTTCATTTTTATTTATTGATACATTAACATTCAATACAATTAATTCAAAAACTCAATTATTTGATAAATATAAATTTGGTAAATTGTTAGGATGTGGTAGTTTTGGAAAAGTGTTTCAAGTAATAACTACAAATGAAAAATCCCAGAAAAGAGCACTT